ACAGGCACAAAAAAAAAAATAAAAAAACACATCATAGTAAAATTAGCTTCGCATCGAAGCTAAAAAAAAAAAAAATTAAAAACAATATAGTAAAATTAATACATTTTCAGCTTCGCATCAAAGCTAAAATAAAATAAATTAGAGGAACAAAGGATAATGAAATGCACTACTATATACCCTAAAATAATGATTTTTAAACATTGGTAACATAAAAAATAATAAAAATGATCATATAACCCAGTATATGATGTGTATAAAATTGTATAGCAGTAGTATCATTATTTTATTGTTAAAAACAAAAAAATTGTGAGTGATATGAAAACTTATGTATGGAATGTTGGACTATATGGAAACGAAACATGAACAATAGGAAAGAAGAAAGAAAACAGTTTACTAGCTTTAGAGATTTGGTGCAGGCGAAGGGCATTGAAGATAAGTTGGATGGATCACGTAACAAATGAAGAAGTATTCAGAATAATTGGAGAAAAATGAAGTTTTTTAGAACATTTAAAAAAGAGAAGACTAAAATTCATAGGACATTCCTTAAGACACAATGGACAAATGACAAGAGTAATAGAAGGCATGATAGAGGAAAAAAACACAAGAGGCAGGCCGCCCTTAGAATACAATTAACAAATTCAAAAAGATGTAAATGCAACATCCTATTATGACCTGAAAAAGAAAGCGGAAAATCGAGATGAATGGAGAGTTGCTTCAAATCAGCCGAATGGCTGTTGACGAAAAAAAAAAAAGTGAGTGATATAAAATTTCATGTTTTTCAAAAATCTCAAGTCTAAAACTTTACTTAAAAGGTATGATATATATTTACAAATTTAAAGATAATATTCTTTTATTTTTTTAAATATATAATTAACTTTTATTATATACAGTAAAATTTTTAAAGAATGTTATCTTTGAAAAAGTTATTTGAATAAAACTAGGAAATTAGTTTGGGGAATCATACATACTTGTTCAATTTAATAAAACATAATTTCTCATTTTATTAGAATAAAGTGCAAATTGTTTAGAATTTATAATAAGACTATAAATTTATCCGGATTAATCTACTCCAAGTAATTTTTTACCTAAACCCGTATTCAAGTCTAACCCTTTTTGTAGATAAGTTTCTCATCAAATTTTCATAAAAGGTTTACCATTTAAATTTAATTATTTTAAAAATAACAAACAACCTACTTAACCTAAGTAAACCCCTATTATTTGTAAAAACAGTGATCAGGTCCCCAAAATAAATATCTGTCTACAGCACTATGATTTTTCTTTATTTATGGACATGCTTATTTCTAAAATGGAGGGGTCTAATGCCCCCTTGCTGTCATTACATTAAATATAAATGTAATAACAGATTATGTTATGATCATAAATTTTACTCCGAAATTAATTTGGATCTATTTTATGTTATGTTAATATTTACGAACAGTTGTGTGTTATCAAAATATTGACAACATTATCAAGGTTATCCCCGTTATCTATGCTAGTAGTATTAAAATTATTTAAATCGTTTTAATTTGTGAACTACTAAGTATTTTTCACTCAAGTTTAATTGAGCTTTCAAAATTTATCTGTTCTATTAAATGTTTATAATTTATGTTGTGCTTTATTATGTTTAATAATTAATAGTAAAAATAAAAAATATCATCATTGTTCTGAATGTATCAACTATGATTATATAAGTAAGATGAAATACTTAATTTTATTATTCGATTGTCATTCATCTAATATATACTAAAAATTAAAAATTATGTGCATTATGTCATACATAATTGAAATTTAAATAATACTCCTCATTCTGGTTTTGTTATTTTTAAAGTGATTGTAACAATTGTATTGAATCCAATAATAATATTTACTGAATTAATAATTTTTAATAAATTTTCTTTATTTATGAGAATGTTTGTCTAATTACAATTATAGTAAATTAATAATTTAAAATGATAATAATATAAAATAATTTTTACTATTTCAAAAAGAAAAAGTATACACGAATATTTAGTTTATTTTTTTATGGTTTTTAAGTTAAATATTTTTAATATGTTTTTAGTTTTAAATAAATATTTTAAATATATTTTTAATTTCAATAAATAAATAATATTTTAATTTTTGCAACAAAATTAATTGTGATAAGTATTATATAACCCATATAAAGTATGTTAACATTATTTTATTGTGTAAATGAAACCTAGAATTTATCTCTTTTTTTTCAGAATTTTTTTGCTCATTCTATTTGATATTTCACTATAGAAAATTTCAGTAATTAAAATAGCAAAATTCTAATTCAAAAATAATTCATAAATATAATAAATAATGTCTCTTCAATCTTTGGATTACTTACTACAACAAACTAAGGATCATGAAAAAAAAAATATTTCCAAAAGTAATAATAAAATTGATTTGCAAACACCATTTGGTTTGAATGATTTAATGTTTGATGATACTGAAGTATATTCTTGTGATCAACATTTAACATCAAATGTATTTCAATTAGAATCACAAAACACAGATGAGTGCTCTAATATATCTGACTATATAAATAAACATTTATCGTTATTAACAACAAATAATTGTAAGCTCAACAATAGTGAAACCATGATAAGCAGTGAAACAAAAAAAAAACCTAATGAAAATTTAAAAATTATTACCTCAAATATACCATTAAAAATTAAACAGTCTCATTTCATTAAAAAACATGGCTTGTTTAGCACAAAACCATTATCAAAGATGCGCTTATCTCCTCTACAAAAAAAAGATTCTGGTTGTAGTATCATAATGGGCCATATTTATCCTATTTCAAAATCAAACTCTATGAATGAATATCTTTCTAATGTTTTGATTGATACACGATCACGTGGATTTAAATTTAACACTCCTGCACCTGATGAACTTGTTCTGTCATGGATGGATATTGTTAGACAGATGCCTAACAAATAATTAAAATCAATATAACAAATTATTTTACTAATTCTATTGATTAAATATTAAATAATATAAAGAAACATAACTTAAAAAATAGTGAAACATGGTTGAATCACTAAGTGGTTTAAATAATACCATTTATGATTTATCTGCTGAATATTAACTTTTGAAATTTGAAGTAATTTAAATAAATTTTATCAATAGGCTGTGAAATTATGACTTGATTTTGAAATCAAAGATTTTTATTTTTTCAAAATTATATTACATAGGAGAAGCTAAACTATTTATTTCCTCATTTATAAATTAAATACATATTTATTTTTTAATTTATGCTTCAGTACGATATGCATGTACTTGGTTAAATTTTACATGTGTAATTATTGACAAAAGATTTTATTATCACATCTTACTTATTATTAATAATATATAATAACACAAATTTTTAACTCCGTACAGATAAAATTTATATTTATTTTAATTTTACTTTAAATAATTTGATTTTTAAAGTCTAATAATGAGCTTCATTAATGTTTAAAAGTGAAATGTATATATATATATATATATTTATATATGTTTGTATAATTTTTTTTTGCTGTATCATTTTTGAGTTTTATGTAAATATACTTATTTTAATCTAATTTTCCTTATGTATTAAAATAATTATTTTTTTTTATAAGTGAGTAATGTTATATAACCTGAATTTATTTTAGGAATGCATAATTATTTGTTTATTATTCCTCCTATTTTAAAAATTTTAATAATTCATTTTTTAATAGAAGATTAAAAATATGTCTATTTCGAAATTTTGAAATGATTAAAAAAATTTTTTATTTAAGAAATAATGTATAAATGTTTTTAACAAGGTCTAAGAATTTAAAAATTGTAAAAAAAAATAATAATAATAGCGAAATGAATCAAAAGTTATTGGATATTAATGACTCTCTCTGCACTTTTATAGTGTAATTTTTTAGAGCAGTGGTTCTTAACCTTTGTGTAGTGGCGACCCAAGATATTTACCAAATTTTCATGCAACCTTTTTATAAATAATGTTCAATGGCGGAATAAAAAATAACTATTGAGTACTCTTAATTTAATAATTTTTTGTACTCATATTACTTGCACTAATAACAGGTCATAATATTAATTACATTATATCTAAAAATAAACATTTCTTAATTTAAATATTTTTTTGTAAATAATGAAGAATTTAATGACTCCCTTGGTTTTGATGTTGCTTCGCTAATGAATCAATTTAAGCTTCTATAGAGTTAGTAAGAGAAATACACATCGTTGGTTCAACATCAAGCTTATTTCTTGATTTGATTTTGATTGTAATTAATGTCGAAAATCCGGATTCACATAAATATGTTGTTGCAAAAGGAACTAATTTCTTTACTGCTTCTTCGTAAAGATTAAGATACTCATTGCTTAAAGATATCCAAAATTGGTTTAAAATTTTAGTTTTAAAAGATTATTCTAATAATTTATCTGCCGATAATTCTAATAGTTGGCTCTCATTTAATAAAGATGATTCATGTTTTTCACAGGGTACAAAGGGGTTAAGAATCCACATATTGTTTAATCGAATATCATGTGATGGTGGGAAATACTTTAATATTTTATTTTTTAATTTCGACAAATGTGTTTTAATTACACATTGCATTACATTAATTTCATTTTTTTTTTAATAATTTTTCTTCAGACATGTTATAATATGATGGAAATATATCATACGTAGTTTCCTGAATTCGTTTTATCCAAAGATCCAGTTTCTTCAGAAAAGCTTCAACTTTATTATTACATGTAAATATATTAGTTAATGACCCTTGCATATTCAAATATAACTCATTGAATAACGATAAAATATCTGAAAGATACGCAACTTTTGCCAACCAAATTATATCTTGAAAATGGTCGGATAACTGTGAAATTTTTTCTCTTAAAAATACTTCTATTTCAGTTCTTAATTCAAAAAATCTCGTTAAAACTTTTCCCCGTGATAACCAACCAGGCACGTAGACATGGGTGGGCCTACCCCCCCTTAGATTTAATGTCGCCCAGGGCCGGCCCCCCCAAATTTAAAATTCAATTATTTTTACGAATTATCAATAATGTACTAGGCTTTATATACATTGAAATTATTATTAATTTATGATTACTATTGAGTAACACAGTTATTATTATGGCTGTATTTTCATTTTTATATTCATAGAAAGGGTTATTTGAAAAAGATAACGTTCTGGACGTAATAATAAATGGAATAGCAGTTACTCCAAACGTGGTTGTAGATAAATTTTTTTTAACTCCAACAAATTATAACAAACTACCAAGTATCATTGATACTTATTGAAATATGCATTGATTAGAATCTAGTTGATTACAAAATTCGATAGAGTAATACTCTATGAAAAATTGTTTGATAAATCTTATCTTTAATCTGTTTTTTATAATTTAGTAGTTATAATAGGTAATTTATTTGTTTTTGTTAATTTGTTATTTGCGTGCTCTAAATAATAGTAATGAAAATATGACTAAAATAAGGCAGGAATTGTTTTTAATTTTAAATAAAATAAATTTTACATTGTTTATAATTTATATTTATTTTCAAAATTATTTGTAACTTATTTGTTATTAGTATTTAGGTATAAATTATTTTTTCTTAATAGCTTAAAAGTTGAAAAATTAAATCAGATTATGTTTAAATCATTATTTTATTAGCTTCGATGCCAAGCTGAGAAGGTATTGGTTTTACTATGATGTGTTTTTTTTTGTGTCTGTTACCACTTTTTCTCAGCTTTCACCAAACCGATGTCTTTCAATGATACGTCAAAAGATCACAAATCGTATCTAATCGTTGAAATTACCCTCAAAAATTGAAAAAAAATCTCTCGTTCCCCGTAAATGGGGGAAACCTCCGAAAAAATTACAAATTTAAAAATCGTTAATTTTCGAAATTTTTTCAATTTTTTTTACTTAAAATTGCTATAACTTTTTTAAAAATAACGAAATCAATATAATTTTTATATAGATGCATGATATCATTACCTTTCATTTGGTATATTTTTTTTTTATATCTGACCCTTTACCTGCCCATAGGGGAGGATTTAAAATGACAACTTTTTCACAAAAAATTAATTTTTTCAACATGACTTTTGAAAATGTTCCGGAAAGTCTGACACTTTTATATATATATTAAATTAAAGCTAATGTAATGTACTTCATTATGGAAAAAAAAATTTCGGACTTGCGAATTGCGTTAAAAGTTATGGTAATAAATTTATTTTTTTTTTTTTTATTATAAACTTTCACTTTAAAGGACAAAAAAAAAAATAGGTTAAAAATTATTACTTTTAACATATTAAAAATCAATAATAACTTAAAAACAATTAATTATAAAAATAATATATAATATATAAGTAAAAAATAATTACTAATCTGGATATAATTAAGGAAGTAGAAGTTGTTGTTGCTTTTGTAATTATCCACCAATTTTTCAAAATTAAACACTATCTACAGATTTGCATCGAAGCGTTTCTTATGATAGTAATTTTAATCACTGTCAGATTAAATCTATACTGGACCCAACCCAATTATGCCACGTCCCTACTGTGCCACGACCTCACTGTTCTGGGTTTTTTTTTATATTTATCTGTTCATTACCATCAGTCATACTCAATGACTGTCTGAAAAAATCATCTATTGTTTTTTTTATTATAAACTTTCACAAAAATCAACCATAAAGGATTAACAAAATAGGTTAAATATGTCATTTATCATATTTTTAATTAATTATTTTTATATTTTTAATTTACATATTAATAATTAAAATCAGTATTAATTTAAAACAATTTTTTTTTATGTCAATACTTATTTTTTAATAATAAGTAATTCTATCAAAACTTAGAAGTGATAGAAAAAGTCTAATTAGAGATTTAAAAAGAGCGGGAAAAGTTGGAAAAGAAAAGTATATTTTTGTTTATTATAATTTCTTTGCAGGATAATTGTAATTAGTATAAACCAATAGTACTTAGTATTAAGGGTATAATAAATTAGTAATAATATGTATTTAGAGAACAGAATAATAATAATTGGTAATAAAGGGAGAGAAAATAGGAATAATTAGTAATTAAGGTTGTGAAATATAGTAATTAAAGGAGAGTAAAATAGTATCTAAGGGTAATGAATAATTAAGGGTGAATAATAAAGAGGAATTAGGGGTTATACTAAAAGTTAGGGGTATTGGTAATTAAGGGGGAATACTAAAAGAGTAGTTAGGGGAAATATGTAATTAAGGGGGTATACTAAAGAGTAGTTAGGAGGAGTTGGTAATTAAAGGGGTATTTTTATTAATTTGCAGATTCTGTAATTTTTAATTAAAAAAATATATAGTGTTCTATGACTATATATTTTGTATCTGTGAACGCTCAATCTCAGCTCTCGTTGGACCGATTTTGATGAACATAACATCAAAAGATCACAAATCGCATCTAGTAAGACATTACTTTTCAATATAATAATATAATAAAAATTGATCACTTGTGGCTAATTAATTAAGTAAAATTAAAACTATATAAAAAATATTATTAATTTAAAAATCTAAAAAATATTAAACTCAAAGCCACAAAAAATTAATGAAAAGTCGCCGCCAATACGTATTTCGGAAACAATGTTACCATTATCAACGCTAAACATATACTGACACCCCGACTAGAAAAAACTCCCTTATATACCCCTAGTGACCTTATCACCCAGTGACGTCATCACTAAGTAATATTATCACATTTTGCCAGTTTACACAAGTTTAATAATGAATGTTTCAGCTGGCCAAGATCCCAATTAATTAAATTGTTTTTATTTTTAAACATTTCTATTGCTTCTCTGATATTAAGTTCTTTGTAATTATTTACGTTTTTAATTAGTTTTATGGTTTTAATGGAGTGATTATGTGTCAATAAATGTTCAGCCACTGGAGATTTCTCAACTTCTTGATTTTTAATATTTCTTAAGTGCTCTTTAAACCTGACCCCTATATTTCTTTTTTTTTGTCCTACGTAATATTTATTACAACTTTCACATTGTATTTTATAAATACCTGATTTCCCCCTTCATCTACCTTATCTTTAGGGTTATCTAATAAATCTCTTAAATTATTACTCTTAGATGTTACCAAAGTAATACCAAAATTCTTAAATATTTTAGTTAATCCATTTGAGATGCCCGGNTAATTTTTTTAACTTCAATCAATATAATTTTTTTATATAGATGTATGATATCTTTACCTACCATTTGGTATATTTTTTTTATAAATCTGACCCTTTGCCTGCCTACAGGGGGAATTCAAAATGACAACTTTTTCACAAAAAATTAACTTTTTCAACTTAAATTTTGAAAGTGTTCCGGAAAGTCTGACACTTTTATATATAACTTAAATTAAAGCTAATGTAATGTACATTATTATGTAAAAATAATTTCGGACTTTATTTTGTCTTCATGG